CCTCAAACCCCTCTAGCATCCCTGGGCCCCCCCATGTCCCCCCAAATCCCCCCCCCCACATCCCCCACATCCCTGCTGATGTCTGGCACAGCCGCAGTCCCTGGCACAGTTCGGACGCCCCAAAATCGACGGAGAGCTGAAGGTCTCCAGCACCGAGCGGCGCTCCAAGGTGGACAGGTGGGACAGGGCAATGGGCACCATGGGGACACCCATGGGGACATGGGAACATCAGGAGAACATGGGGACACCCATGGGAATGCTGCAGGGACACCCATGGGGACATGGGAACACCACAAGGACACCATGGGGACACAATGGGGAGACCCATGGAGACATGGGACCACCACAGGAACATTATGTGGACATGAGGAAAACAGAGGGATGTGGGGACACCCTTGGGGACATGGAGACACCATAGGGACACCACGGGGACATCGGAAACCAGGCACCCCCATGGGGACACCCATAGGGACATAAGGATGGGAACACGGGAACACCTTGGGGACACCCTTGTCACAGAGCAGGGGGGACAGAGCAAGGGCCACTCCAGGGCAGTGGTGGGAACACCCCAAGGTTCACGGTGGCCTTGGGAACCCAGTGCCACCCCCATCCCTGTCCCCAGGTACGGCTTCCTCCTGGACAAGGCCCTGATCATCTGTAAGCGCCGTGGGGACTCTTACGAGGCCAAAGACATTGTGGACCTGCAAAGCCACCAACTGCGGGATGGTGACCTCGGCCCCCGTGATGGCAAGAAGGTACCCTGGGACCCAGGCATTCCCTAAGAACCCATGTGTCCAGGTCACTGGTGGTCCCGAGCATCCAGGGGACCCAAGTGTCCAGGTCCTTGGCGGACCTATTGAAGCCTGGTGGACCCACGTGTCCGTTTCCCGGTGGACACACGTGTCCGGTTCCCAGTGACCCCAGGTGTCCTCTTCCCAATGAACCCAGGCGTCCAAACCTGGTGGATCCCAGCATCCTGGTCTTTGGTGGACACAATTGTCCAGGTCTGGTGGACCCAAGCATCCAGGCTTTTGGTCTACCCAAGTTGTCCAGTTCCTTAGTGGACACACTGAAGCCTGGTGGCCCCAGGAATGTGGTCCCCAGTGGCCCCAGGCATCTGGGCGCCACTGAGTCCCACCCATGCCTGCAGTGGACCCACACCTTCCTGCTCATCGACACGGCCGGGCTGCAGGGCTACGAGCTCTTCTTCAAGACCCGTGAGCTGAAGAAAAAGTGGCTGGAGCAGTTTGAGATGGCCCTGTAGGTGCCCCTGCACCCAGGGGTGGGGGGACCTGCCCCACTGAGGGCTGAGTGGCCCCGAGGGGGGGGACAATTTGCCCCCACCAGACCCAGGTCCTTCCATCTCTCGCCAGCTCCAACATCTTCCCTGAGCATGCCCTGGCTGATGGGCATGACTTCCATATGTTCTCCTTTGAGGACACCACATCCTGCAGGGCCTGCCAGATGTTGCTGAGGTAGGACCCCAAAATAATGTCCCCCACTCTCCTGGGGAGACAATGGGGGACAGGGTGACCTGGGAGATGGAGTTGGGAGTCTCTGGGAGAAGGGGAGGCCCCATCTAGGTGATTGGAGGTGGTACGAGGTCTTGATGGGTCAAGGTCTGGGTGAGTTGAGGCTAAGGTGGGTCAAGGTCTGAGTTGGTAAAGGATTGGGTAGGTTGAGTCTCGGATAAGCCAAAGCCAACATGGGTCAAGTCTTGGGTGGGTCAAGGACCTGGTGGGTCAAGCCCTGAGTGGCCCAAGGCCAAGGTGGGCCAAGAGTTGGGTGGAGGCCAAGGTGGGTCAGGAGTTGGGTGGAGGCCAAGGTGGGTCAAGACCAGGATGGGATGAAACTAAGGTGGGTTGATCCTGGTGGAGCCAAGACTAACATGGGCCAAGGACCTGGTGGGTCAAGAACTGGGTTGGCCCAAAGCCCAGGTGGGTCTAGGATTGCGTCAGTCCTGGGTGGGCCAAGGTAGGTGGGTGCAGGTGGGCCAATGGGTGTCCCCTCATGCTGACCGTGACCCTGTGTCCCCCCATGTCCTGGTGTTCCCCCAGGGGCACATTCTACCAAGGCTACCGTTGCAGCCGGTGCCGGGCCCCCGCACACAAGGAGTGTCTGGGGCGGCTGGGAACCTGCGGCAGGGCTGGCGCCGGTGAGAGGCATCATGGGATATCGAGGGGATGGGGGTTGTGGGATAGTGGGAAGGGGGAGCATCGTGGGATGGGGAGAAGAGCATCGTGGCTTTAGGGAGTGGAGCACTGTGGGATGGGGAGTGGGGCATTGTGGGACACAAGATGGCCGACATGGAGCAGGGTGTTGTGGGATAGGGGTGGCCCAGGTGGAGCAGAGCATTATGGGATACCCTAACAAGGGCCACCCACCCCCACAGGAGCCTAATTAGCACCAAGTGTTAATCAGGGCAGGGGTTAAATACTCCCAACTAATGAGTATTCCCTCTTCTACCCTACAGATCCAGGCTCTGGGACAAGGAAGGTAACAGCAAAATGGGTCAAAATGGGCTGAAATGCCCTCAATTTGGGAGTGGAGAAGCCCGGGGGGTGTCATGTACCACCCCCCTGGGACTAACTGGGGTCTCGTTGCTCCCCAGAACAAGTCACAGCGGTCGGGCACTGAGAAGAAGAGGGGAGACCTGGGTGAGGACAATGTGGGGGGCCCGGACACCTGGGTCCGCATGTTCAGGGGGCAGAGGGGGTGTCCATGCCCTGGATGCCGGGGTTCACCACCACCCCCCCATCATGTGTCCTCCTTCCAGGGTTGCCCAAGATGGAGGCGAGCCAGCACTACAGCGGTGTCCCCCCACCGCCGGGGGCCCTGGGTCCTGCCCTACGTCTCAGCCCTGGGGACGTTGTGGAGGTCACCGTGGCCGAGGCTGAGCAGCTCTGGTGGCAGGTGGGGATGGGACCCTCATGGTCATGTTGGGAAGGACCTCCACTACGGGGCAGACGCCCATGGCCATACTGGGAAGGACCTCTACTATGGAGGCAAACCACTATGGGCATGCTGGGATGAACCTCCACTATGGGGCAGACCCCCATGGCCATGCTGGGAAGGACCTCTACTATGGAGGCAGACCACTATGGCCATGCTGGGAAGGACCTCTACTATGGAGGCAGACCACTATGGTCATGCTGGAATAGACCCTCACGATGAGCTGGGATGGACCCCCATAGTGAGCTCAGACCACAATGGCTGTGATTGGCTAGATCTTGATGAGTTGGGAAGCCATGGTTGGGTTGGACCCCCACGATGGGGTCGGGCCAGATCCCCACAACAAGGTTGGACCCCCATGATGGGGCTGGACCTCTGTGGCCATGCTGAACCCCCACAACGGAGATGGGCTGGAGCCCCATGGCCAGACTGGGCCTCCTGTGGTCCTTTGCTGGACTCCCATGGCCCCCCTGGTCCTTCATCCCTAGGGCAGGAACGTGGCCAACGGTGACCTGGGCTGGTTCCCTTGCGCCGCTGTGAGACCCTTCATCTGCGTGAGTATGGGGACCGCAAAACATCCCCAGGAGCCCCTGCACCCACCCTGATGTCCCCAAGATATCTGGGGTGTCCTGGGATTTGGGGGTGTGTCTGTGGGATACACAGGGGTCTCAGAGGAGTTGCCTTCTGTCCCCCCTTGATCCCCAACTCTGTTTCTCTCCCCCAGGTGCCACTGCCAGATCTCTCCGTCTACCCCTGGTTGGTGTTGGGGTTCTCCATTGCCCCTGGGGCACCCCAAATCCTCCTCTGGGCTCCCATAACCCCTGGGGACCTCCCCAGTCCTCCCCCAGGGTCACCCTGTAGCCCCCAGGACCCCATGAATCATCCCCTGGGGGCCTTATTCTTCCTGGGGTCACCCCAAATCTCCCCCTAGGGTCACCCCATCCTTCTTGGGGTCACTCTATACCCTCCAGGACCTCCCAGATCCCTTCCTGGAGTCCTTCATCCTTCCTGCAGTTACCCCATTGCTCCTAGGGCCCCCAAAATCCCTCCTGTGGTCCTCCATCCCTCTTGGGGTCACTCCAAATTCTCCTCAGTGCCTTCCCCCCCTGCCCCCCAAATCCTCCCTGAGCCCTCTATCCTTCCTGGCCCCCCTCAAATCCTCCCTCAGAGTCGCACAAATCCTTTCCCAGGGTCCCCCATCCCTCCTGGGGTCACCCCAAATCCTCCCCTGAGCTTTCCATCCTTCCTGCTCCCCCCCCCAGGGTTACCCCATAGGCATTAGGACCCCCAAAATCTTCCTCTGAGCCCTCCATTCTTCCTGTGATCACCCTATAGCTCCCAGGGCCCCCCCAAATCATTCCGCAGGGGCCCCCAACCCTCCTCGTGTCCCCCCCCAAATCCTTCATCTGGGTTGCCCCATAGCTCCCAGCTCCCCCTCCCTCCCTCCATCCCCTTGAATTGCCCTGGGGAGGGGCAGGGGATGCTTGTTTTGGGGCTCAGGACCCCCATCCCTTAATCCCTAGGTACGCTGGTCCCATGGAGCGGGGGGAAGCCGAGCAGCTCCTGATGCCTCGCTCTGACGGCGCCTTCCTGGTGCGACAGCGGGTGAAGGACGCCGGTGAATTCGCCATCAGCATCAAGTAGGGACCAGGGACACTTCCCGGGGGGGGACACAAGACTGTCACTGGCTCAGCCCCCCATGTTCCCCTGTCCAGGTACCGCGGGGAGGTAAAGCACATCAAGGTGATGACAGCAGAGGGGCTCTACCGCGTCACTGAGAAGAAGGCGTTCAAGGGGCTGGTGGTGAGCATTAGAGCCCCCTTCTCTGCCAAACCCCCCTGCCCCAGATCTCTGGGTCCCCATCACATTGAGTTTGGGGGCTGGTGGTGACCCCAAGGCTTGACCATGTCCACAGGAGCTGGTGGAGTTCTACCAGCACAGCTCGCTCAAGGATTGCTTCAAAACCCTTGACACGGCACTTGTGGTGCCCTTCAAGGAGCCCGAGAGCCGGGCTGGTCCCCGGCCACCTGGTAGGACCTGAGAGATGGGGTGGCATGGAGGTGGTGGGGTCCCCCATCAGAGTGGGAGTGGTGGGGTGGATGCAGTGGTGGTGGGATGGACATGGTGGGGTCCTCTTTTGGTCATGGTGAAGAGGACAGGCTGAGGGGTACAGCTGAGTCACAGGGATGGGACAAGGGCAATGGCCAAGGGATGAGTCAAGGGAATGGTTGAGGTCAAGGGAGAGGAGCAGCCATGGGATGGGTTGAGGGGGACAAATAGCCAAAGGGGATAAGTTGAAGGGACAGGGATGAGGAGGGTGGTTGAGTCATGGGGTCAAGTCATTGGTGATGGCCAAGAGATGGGTAGAGGGATCAGCGATGGGGTGAGTCAAGGAGGGATGAATGGCCAAGAGGGACAGCTAGGTTCTGGGGACATGTCAATGGAGATGGCCAAGGGGTGGGTTGAGGGAAGGACCGTGGAACACTCAAGGGGGCACAAATGGCCACATGGACCAGATGGAGGGGACTTGGGCAGCCCTGGGGGATGACCTGGGGAACTCGTACATGTCCACGTCCTCCCCCTCCCCAGGAGCTGTGCGCAGCTTTGGTTCTGCCAAAGCCCGCTATGATTTCTGCGCCCGGGACCGAACGGAGCTGACACTGCGGGAGGGTGACATCATCCGTGTCCTAAGCAAGAAGGGCCACCCAGGCTGGTGGAAAGGAGAGATTTACGGGCGGGTATGCCACCTTCCCCACCCCAAGGTCCCGTGTCCCCCCCCGCCAAGCTCCTCACACCTTTTCCCAACGTGTCCTCCTTCTCCCAGGTTGGATGGTTCCCCGCAAACTACGTGGAGGAAGATTACTCGGAGTATTGCTGACCATGGACCCCCACCCCATCCCATCCACCACCTTGTGTCCCACCACCTGTGTCCCCCCACCCCAGAGGCCACCACGTCCCTCTCCAGCCTTCCCAGCCCCCATTAATTTATGCCTCTTCCCGCCCAGGAGGGACAATAAACGAGGATGAGGACGAGCTGCAGGGTCAGATTGTGCAGGAAGGGACGCAGGCATCTGGGTGGGGGATGAGGTCACGGGGTTGGTTTTTTCCGGGAAGGGACCCAGGCGTCCGGGCGGGCAATGAGGTCAAGGTTGTGCAGTCGGTTTCTCTGGGAACGGACCAGGCATCCGGGCAGGAATGAAACCACGTGGTTGATGTCTCCGGGAAGGGACTCGGATGTCCAAGCAGGGATGAGACCACAGGATTGATGCCTCCAGGAGGGGACCCAGGTGTCTGGGCAGGGATGAAACCATGGGGTTGATGTCCCCAGGAGGGGACCCAGGTGTCCAGAGAAGGGACATGGACAAAATTATAGGGTCACCTTCACTAGGAAAGGACCCAGTTGTCCAGGTGGGGATGAGGCCATGGGGTCACCATCTCCAAGAAGGGACCCAGGCATCTGGGCAGAGGACATGGATGAGGTTGTAGGGTCACTTTTGCTAGGAAGGGACCCAGGCATCCGGGTTGGGACAAGGTCATGGGGTCAACATCTCCAAAAAGGAACCCAGGCATCCAAGGTGGGGACGTGGACGAGGCCATGGGGTCAGTCCGTCCAAGAGACCCACATATCCGGGTGGGGGAGCCCCATCACTGCTGTTACGTGCCATGAGCGGCCTCAGGCCTCAGCCCACAC